CTATATTTTTTCTAATTATTATAAAATTAGTTTGCAATAACAATTTTACGGTTTGTTCTAATATTCAAGTAAATTAAAACACCACAACTTCATATTATAACAGTAAAGCAAAGTAAAATAGGGAAATATCAATAGTTAATATAATAATTATTTAAATTATATTTGTTACTTATTTATTAAATATCGCAACCAGAACAATGCTTTTTAAAATATTTGTAGCAAAGACAATTTTTTAAATACTATCTGATCGTTGACACCGAAAAAGTTCGATATTGAAATAATTGTACAATAGACCCCCTATAACGCGGGTTACTATAATACGGATTCATATAACGCGGCGAAAAAATTGCCACAGTATTCGTATAAAGACCCTAAAAGGAACGCGTAAAACGTCATCGCCGACTCGGGTCGCGACAGGATTAGTCGAATCTGGACCAATAGTAGATGAGCAGTCGAACTACTTACATGCTACAGAGAGTTTAGACACGTAAGTTGAGTTTACTATCGTCTGTACAGTATTATTATCGTCTGTACAATATTAACTTAATTTATTTTAACTTTATTATAATTATATATATATTTTTTCCGCCGTCTGNCCTTTGCATATTTTTGTAGAATTTTAAGTACATGAAAAAGCATTTTTAGTTAGAATTATATTAGCGACGAATCTTTACGTTAGTTTTATAATACCTTTTCTTTGCATTTTCACGAAACTTCAAGGTTTTCCGAACAAAGATGACACGCTAAACCTTTTTACCTTGAAGTATACTTTACGTAATTGACAGAAAGTTTTATTAAATATACAAATAATCACTCAACACATGAGGGAAAAAATATTTATTATATTTAACGCTAGAATAGACTCTTTCTGTATTGTATTAAAGTTTTTCTCTTAAGAATTTAGTTGTTGAAAGTATACGTTACATAATTTAAATAACATTTATAAAACTTGACAATTAATATGAGAAATTATTATTATGAAAATATTTATCAAATAAATATATTTAAACCTCGCAAATCTCCACATACGTTTACCAAGTCGAGTGAATAATTTAAACAGATAATAATTTGTTAGACATAACTGTTTAGTTGTGTCTAACTGACTTATGACTTATTTATGACTATTTACATCGCATCTGTAAATAGTCATAAATCTGGAACATATTTTAAATTTTAACTATAACAATAATTAAATTTAATGTTTCAAACTTTGAATTACTATCAAACTTTCTTGCACGTAAGTTACTTAATAATAAAATAACGAATTATAATGTAAAAAGTATGTCAGATGTCAGATGTGTGATTGAAGTGTTCATTTTTGAATTTTTATGCGTTTGTTTTTTTTTAAGAACATCAAAATATTTTGAGGTATAAATTATTACGCTTTGATAAGTGAATAAGGAGAAAAACAGTAAAAGTAGAAAAATGCAATTTGTGCAAAAATATTTCATGTCCTACATATAAAGTAATAACTTCGTGTCAGAATGTTTGGCAAGCACATTTGCAATTATAATAGTTAGTAATGATACATTATACGCTAATTAATGCTGATTTACTAAAATGCTTTCGCCAATTCGTTCAGTGTAAACTATCACAGTGATAACGATAAATGATTTACATGGATTAAATCGTTTAATGCGTTGTAAGTTAACTACAACGATAGTCACTTGAAAATAATCAGTACAAAAAAAATTTTGTTAAACAAGATTAATTAATAAGTAACTGGTTTATTTTACAGCTGGGTTTTTCCTATAATAAACAAGGGAAGAAAGCAAATTTTGAAAGAAGAAGATTTACACGGAGCCTCGCAATATCACACCTCACAGTATCTTGGGGATCTACTTCAAAAGTAAGCTAACTATTTAGTTTTGAATAGCCATAATTCAGTTATTATTTCCTAATATTTTAGCTTCATTTATGATTTTTTCATGTTTAACAAAATAATTAGACAAAATCTAATATTGTTTAATTTATTTTATTTTTTCCACACATTGTTACTTCTGTAATGAAACACTTATGTTTGACGTTATAGAAAGTTATAACAAGTACGTACATAGTTGATTCATAGTAAACTGTTAATTGAACTTACATCTACAGCAATAATGCAACTTTCTCTACATTTTGTTAAAATTTCGTGACTGAAGTTTTTTAATGTCAAAATAATCTACAATAGACGTTATTTTAGTCGTTATATCGCAAGATTTAATCATCCTGTCAAAATAATTCGAATATTTTCAAACATTTTGATGAGTCCAAGTTGAGCAGTTAATGAGGCAGCATACCACTTTGGGCGATAAAAAATTGCATCTTACGTGACTAAAAGTCTCTGAAATCGTCAAGAAACTTCGCCAAGTTTTGTCTTAGCACTGGTTGTCTCATTGTGATCCAAATCTTCGACAGGCTCGCTAAGAAAAACCAATTATTGTCCACAGGGTAAACAGATCTGAAAAAGTAACAGAAAAAACATCAAATAAAATAAATAATATAGTTTGACTAATGTTTTTTAATAAAATGAAATACTCGATAAAGTTTTAATCAAATTAATATTACTAAATCATTTTGATGATTAAATAGGTCGAAAACAAAATAGAGCAGGCACCATTAATCACGGCATTTTACAAATGATATACATAGAAATATTATTTACTGAAATTACCCTAAAACAAGTATAACTTTTGTCATTCTAATTAAAACGAATTCAAGTGCAGCCACCTGATTTTCCCTTTTAATTTCCTCTCTACCAATGACAAAGTTAATAGTTTGTAAGCAATTTGACATTTGTGAAAGATTTATTGTATTTTCTGTTATAAAATCAGTGAAACAAACTATTTAAAAGTTTGTTTTTGCAGTCAGCTAACTTATCCTACTGTTTAACACACTGTATGATTTTCTTTTTCATTCCTATAAACGTGTGAATGATTAACTGAAATCATTCTATATATTGCATCGAATAACATAAATTTGAGGAATTAATGTGTGTTGTGCATTATATCTGTTATACAACAGTTTTGTGTTATTTAAAAGTGTAATTATTAATTTTTTTATGTAAGTGTTGATATTAAAATACTGTTTTAGTGAATTAGTTATAAAATTCTGATTAAATTGAATATTTTTGAAATTATTATATATAGTTTAAATTAATGGATAAGTAAGTAGTTTAGATAATAGTTTAGNTGGTGGAGGTCCGCAGCGATTCTGACGTGCAAATCGATCGTCAGACCTTGGTATAGGGGCGAAAGACTAATCGAACCGTCTAGTAGCTGGTTCCCTCCGAAGTTTCCCTCAGGATAGCTGGTGCTCGATCGGAATCAGTCTCATCCGGTAAAGCGAATGATTAGAGGCCTTGGGGCCGAAACGACCTCAACCTATTCTCAAACTTTCAATGGGTGAGAAGTCCGGTTTACCCGACTGAAGCCCGGACGATTCTCAGGATGTGAGTTATATCAAAAACGTAAAATATTTGAGTAGCCTAAGACATAACCAAAGATTACAGCGCCACAGCAATGGCGAAAATTTAAATTTGTCGACTGGAATTCCTTCGGATAAACGACGCTCTACTGTATTTTCTCCAGATCTTTCGCCATGCCGGTGACCTGTTTCTATAATTATTGCTACTCGGAGAAGTTAGAAGTTTAACATAAAAAAGACCAGACGCTGGGGCTAAAGTTTTTATCTTATAACAGAAGGTAAAATTTAATAATTTCATTTTAGCGTAATAATGTAATTCACGAAATACTTAAATACATAAAACTAAAATTAAAATAACAAATTAGAAACAAAAATAGATTGTTGGAAAGCAGTTTCTAACGCACAAAGTAATAAATAGAGAAAGAAACGTATATATGAGTCAATCCGAAAAGTCTTTTTCTGGCTATGTTGCTGTATTATTGTATTTTATAACGAAGAAATAAAATTGAATAGTTTATGATAAACATACAACTTAAAATTAAGCTACATAATAATTATTATTATTCTGTTCTTAATAATAGTAATTTAAATTGCAAGTTGCAAACATGAATTAAAGTAATAAATCCTAAAAGTAGAAATTAGCGATACAAAAGTAACAAGATTTTATAACTATTATACATCTACACTTCGACCGGTTTATACAACTCAACATTATAAATATATTTTTAATAACTGAATTTTTTGTATCAGTTATTATTTATTATTTATTTGGTACAATGTAATAATACGCAATGTACGGTGAACAGAATTAAGACGAAAACACCGAACAATGTTTGTGCATGACAAAACATAAATCTAATATTAAATGCAAACCTATTTCGAATGTAAAAAATGATATCACAGATTTTTTTTATATAAACAAGACTCTTACAACTACACTTCGACCTGTTTATANTCGGCGATAAAAAATTGCATCTTACGTGACTAAAAGTCTCTGAAATTGTCAAGAAACTTCGCCAAGTTTTGTCTTAGCACTGGTTGTCTCATTGTGATCCAAATCTTCGACAGGCTCGCTAAGAAAAACCAATTATTGTCCACAGGGTAAACAGATCTGAAAAAGTAACAGAAAAAACATCAAATAAAATAAATAATATAGTTTGACTAATGTTTTTTAATAAAATGAAATACTCGATAAAGTTTTAATCAAATTAATATTACTAAATCATTTTGATGATTAAATAGGTCGAAAACAAAATAGAGCAGGCACCATTAATCACGGCATTTTACAAATGATATACATAGAACTTTTATTTACTGAAATTACCCTAAAACAAGTATAACTTTTGTCATTCGAATTAAAACTAATTCAAGTGCAGCCANCTGTGACAAATCTCTATGTAGCTGAATAGTAACTAAACTGCTAATTACATCCCGATTAAACATCAAGGTTTTCTGAACAAAAATAACGCGCTAAGCATTTAAATATTAAACTAAATACTGTATTATATATCATCTGATAGATGTATAGACTTGGTGAGTAAGACTACGTATGCATCGTACAGATAATTGTAGACTTGAGAAATTATTTGAGAATGGACAGGAAAGAGACAAGTAATCCATTCGATACAGCTGGTGTTTTCTCTCGAATATTTTTCTGGTATGTGTTATTATTTTACCTGATTAATAAGTAAAATCTAAATATATAAAATTGCTTGTCCTGACTGACTCATTCACTCACTGATTCATCATCGCCCAGAGCAAACCGCTGAACCTAAAGAGGTAAAATTTGGTATACGGTTAGGGTACGTCATGAAAACGTACACTAAGAAGCGATTTTTCGAAATTTCCTTGTGGGGGAACAGAGAGACAATTAAGTCTTAACCGGCTTCTACTGTGCTATTTTAGATGCGATATTTTGTTACGTTTCGTCTTCATTAAGTACTTAAGTATATTAAATTAATAACATTTCAGACATTGTTATAAATACAGTAGAACCTCTATTATCCGAATTTTCGATTATCCAGATTGTTCAAAATAAACAAAAATTTTACGAATTTGCCGATTTGCACTTGGCGAATTACGACACTGTTTATGTTCGTGATGGAATGCATAACTTTTTTTGTTTCAACAACGTCTCACTCAGTACAGCGTTCATAAACTCTTAAATATATTTTTCGTCGTAATAAAAATATAACTTAACATACGTATTTATAAATAATTTATATTCAAATTGTATCATTTCTATGACCAACGGTGGCGTAAAGGATAGACGACATGAACCACTGCCTATGCCTCGCACCTCGAAGGTGTATGCGTTACTTAAAAGCTGCGAACGCGACGAAAAAATTTTGCGCCACAAGATGGTTTTTTAAACAATATGCAGTATGTTATCGCTGGTCAATAGTAATCCCGCGGGCAACAGCTGTTACCCGCGGGCGATGTCGCGGGTAACACCTAGTATACTATACTTACAAAAACAATACGCGTATTTCCGTATATGAAAATTATTTTTCCAAAACGTAGAAAACCAGTAAGCTAACTGTGACGACTTGATGCCATTAAATTAGATTTAAATAGAATGTAAAATAAGAAAAATAAAACTAACAAATAAAAATTAATGAAATAAATTAATTACATTTCTTTACCTGGAAAAATACGAAAATATGATACAGTATATTCAAAGCAGATTAGCTGACACAAAAATCTACGTAAAATAATAGATTTTTTTTTAAATTAACGGAAAGAAAATTTTTTAAATTTATTAACAAAAATAGACGTTTCTGAATTAGTTGCCCATAAGATGCCTCTTTAAAATATACAAATTCAAAGTTGATTATCTCGATAACCGCACTAAAATCTTAACAAAACTTATACCACTTTTTAATGTTAATATTAATAACTGATACCTCGAGTTTCAACGCTTTCGTAAGAAAATGACATTTGGCACCGACTACCTCAATAGATAAGTGACATTTGAAGTAAAGAAATAATTTATTTAAATTGAATAATTTTAAAAAAAATCGCATCTACAGCTACCTACTAAGTGATGAATTGCTTAAAGTTAAAAAAATTTTGACACTTTGAATTATGTAAGAGTTCGATTGTTCAACATCCAAGAAAAAAATTTCTTTTCATACAGAGAGCAAGTGCCTTGGCTTGCCTTGCATTAAATTATAACTATTTCAATATTTTGAAGTATGGAATTCTATACTTGCAAAAATATGAGGTATGGATTCTTCCATATCTTCCATAGTGGAAACGACACCCATGTGAGAAATTATTTTATGGTTGATTGTAACGGTATTGTGAAAGAACGTTTATGAAAAATTATCATAAATAATATAACGGTTGTTTCTTTAAAAATATTTTTTATTACGTGATGCTACAAATAATTTTAACTTTATCTTGATATCCCTTGATACTTTTTTCTGAGAAATTTAAGCAATTCGTTATAAATTTTTTTAACGTAGGAAATTATTATTTTTTAATATATTTATCAAATCGCAAGTAATTCTTTTTTTGCATATTTTTGTAGAATTTTAAGTACATGAAAAAGCATTTTTAGTTAGAATTATATTAGCGACGAATCTTTACGTTAGTTTTATAATACCTTTTCTTTGCATTTTCACGAAACTTCAAGGTTTTCCGAACAAAGATGACACGCTAAACCTTTTTACTTTGAAGTATACTTTACGTAATTGACAGAAAGTTTTATTAAATATACAAATAATCACTCAACACATGAGGGAAAAAATATTTATTATATTTAACGCTAGAATAGACTCTTTCTGTATTGTATTAAAGTTTTTCTCTTAAGAATTTAGTTGTTGAAAGTATACGTTACATAATTTAAATAACATTTATAAAACTTGACAATTAATATGAGAAATTATTATTATGAAAATATTTGTCAAATAAATATATTTAAACCTCGCAAATCTCCACATACGTTTACCAAGTCGAGTGAATAATTTAAACAGATAATAATTTGTTAGACATAACTGTTTAGTTGTGTCTAACTGACTTATGACTTATTTATGACTATTTACATCGCATATGTAAATAGTCATAAATCTGGAACATATTTTAAATTTTAACTATAACAATAATTAAATTTAATGTTTCAAACTTTGAATTACTATCAAACTTTCTTGCACGTAAGTTACTTAATAATAAAATAACGAATTATAATGTAAAAAGTATGTCAGATGTCAGATGTGTGATTGAAGTGTTCATTTTTGAATTTTTATGCGTTTGTTTTTTTTTAAGAACATCAAAATATTTTGAGGTATAAATTATTACGCTTTGATAAGTGAATAAGGAGAAAAACAGTAAAAGTAGAAAAATGCAATTTGTGCAAAAATATTTCATGTCCAACACATAAAGTAATAACTTCGTGTCAGAATGTTTGGCAAGCACATTTGCAATTATAATAGTTAGTAATGATACATTATACGCTAATTAATGCTGATTTACTAAAATGCTTTCGCCAATTCGTTCAGTGTAAACTATCACAGTGATAACGATAAATGATTTACATGGATTAAATCGTTTAATGCGTTGTAAGTTAACTACAACGATAGTCACTTGAAAATAATCAGTACAAAAAAAATTTTGTTAAACAAGATTAATTAATAAGTAACTGGTTTATTTTACAGCTGGGTTTTTCCTATAATAAACAAGGGAAGAAAGCAAATTTTGAAAGAAGAAGATTTACACGGAGCCTCGCAATATCACACCTCACAGTATCTTGGGGATCTACTTCAAAAGTAAGTTAACTATTTAGTTTTGAATAGCCATAATTCAGTTATTATTTCTTAATATTTTAGCTTCATTTATGATTTTTTCAAGTTTAACAAAATAATTAGACAAAAACTAATATTGTTTAATTTATTTTATTTTTTTCACACATTGTTACTTCTGTAATGAAACACTTATGTTTGACGTTATAGAAAGTTATAACAAGTACGTACATAGTTGATTCATAGTAAACTGTTAATTGAACTTACATCTACAGCAATAATGCAACTTTCTCTACATTTTGTTAAAATTTCGTGACTGAAGTTTTTTAATGTCAAAATAATCTACAATAGACGTTATTTTAGTCGTTATATTGCAAGATTTAATCATCCTGTCAAAATAACTAGAATATTTTCAAACATTTTGATGAGTCCAAGTTGAGCAGTTAATGAGGCAGCATACCACTTTCGGCGATAAAAAATTGCATCTTACGTGACTAAAAGTCTCTGAAATTGTCAAGAAACTTCGCCAAGTTTTGTCTTAGCACTGGTTGTCTCATTGTGATCCGAATCTTCGACAGGCTCGCTAAGATAAACCAATTATTGTCCACAGGGTAAACAGATCTGAAAAAGTAACAGAAAAAACATCAAATAAAATAAATAATATAGTTTGACTAATGTTTTTTAATAAAATGAAATACTCGATAAAGTTTTAATCAAATTAATATTACTAAATCATTTTGATGATTAAATAGGTCGAAAACAAAATAGAGCAGGCACCATTAATCACGGCATTTTACAAATGATATACATAGAAATATTATTTACTGAAATTACCCTAAAACAAGTATAACTTTTGTCATTCGAATTAAAACTAATTCAAGTGCAGCCACCTGATTTTCTCTTTTAATTCCCTCTCTACCAATGACAAAGTTAATAGTTTGTAAGCAATTTGACATTTGTGAAAGATTTATTGTATTTTCTGTTATAAAATCAGTGAAACAAACTATTTAAAAGTTTGTTTTTGCAGTCAGCTAACTTATCCTACTGTTTAACACACTGTATGATTTTCTTTTTCATTCCTATAAACGTGTGAATGATTAACTGAAATCATTCTATATATTGCATCGAATAACATAAATTTGAGGAATTAATGTGTGTTGTGCATTATATCTGTTATACAACAGTTTTGTGTTATTTAAAAGTGTAATTATTAATTTTTTTATGTAAGTGTTGATATTAAAATACTGTTTTAGTGAATTAGTTATAAAATTCTGATTAAATTGAATATTTTTGAAATTATTATATATAGTTTAAATTAATGGATAAGTAAGTAGTTTAGATAATAGTTTAGATAATAGTAAGATAGTAGTTTATAACATAATAAGTACTTTTGTCATTTATAATGAAATTGTCACTACTGATATTGTGGTTTTCACTGGTGGCAAAGCCATTAGTTTCAGACAGTAGGTTGAGACCAAAATTGGAAATTGAAATTTCACCGAGTGCCAATAATATCAGTTTAACAATTCGAATCGTCTTTTGAAATGTTCTAAAAAGACTGAAATATTTTGTATATTTTTATCTTTTTAACTTGTACTACTGTACTTAGTTCACTGTGTCCCCCTAAAATGGCGCACCATAAATGGCGCATCATAGCTGGTTCGATGGCCAGACGTTATATACTTGTTAAGCTCTTGTTGTTGAGGCTCTCAGTTTTTTCCAGCAAGAAAGCATAGAAAGTTCAAAAGTTCTCCTTCTCTACAAGCGTTTTTCAGATTTATATGAATATACCATTTCAAACCCTGATAGATAGTAATGCCCAAGTATTTCATACTGTTGGTGTATCTTATCTTAGTACTTCCTTCATTTATCGAGTTTGGTTTTTTGAGTTGGGTCCCTTTGGACATTAACATGCAGGTGGTCTTACTTGGTTAATGGATAATTTACTTTGTACTAAATAAATGAATAGTAATTAATAATATAAAATATGTTATAAGATCGTATAGCAAATATATTTATAAGAAATTTTCAAATTATCAATATACACGTAATTTATTTTTGTTTTAGATAGAATTTACAAATTATAAAAAGTGGATTTAGTGGATAAACATTTACGGTGCAAACTAAAATATTCAAAATGCAAAAATATTAGAATTTAGTATCTAACAAAATTTTTAATAAGTTATATTTAATTTTTCGACAGCAAACATCTGAAAGCGAACATTGCATATGTCTATGATTTGTTTATGCGTGCTATTTACTCTGTCTTACAATGAAATATTATGACTTGACTCTGTTAATATTACATTCGTCTTTTGTCGTATAGTAACGTGCAGAGAAACACACCATATTTTTGTTGTGGCTCGAGATCATAACAAATCACTCGTCCAATAATGTTCAGATTCGCAAGATATTAGCGTGGCCAGTTATTACTGTACATTCTAGATTTTGTGGTATTGCATTAAAAATTTCAGAAAATAAAATAGCATTTATAAAGCCCTGAACATTACTTTAAAAAAGTTGAATAACATTTAATGAAATATTGTTTTTAAATTAAATGCCTCATCCAAATTTCTTTTTCAGAGAATGGAAAAGAGAATTGCAGAAGAAAAATCCGAGCATACTGAAAGCTACCTTACGTTTTGTTGGTTGGAAATACTTGATGGTAATACTACTTGTACTAATTCAGGTATTATGACACCCGATTATAAGGAGGTGAAGTTACTATTAAAATAATTGAAATAACTGATATTTATGTATACTTACAGGAAACAGCTGTAGTTACAGGTCAAGCATATTTTTTAGGATCAACAATATGTTATTTTGAAAACAGACAGGAATGGAATCACTACAACGTTTATGTTACAATTGCAGGATTCTTTGCTGCAACTGCGATTTATTCGTTTACGCATAATACTAATCTGTTTATGACAGAATATTATTCAATGAAACTGAAGGTAGCTTTCTGCACTCTTGTTTATAGAAAGGTAAATAACAATTATAATCTATTTTGAGTAAAGTATTACTTTTATATTATTCATATATGGTGTATTGTGATTAAGTAGATCGGAAAAATTTTAAAAAATGTTCTCTGTGAAAAAATTTTTCTAGCACTCGTAGATTTTCAATTTTGTTTTTCAAGATAATTTGATTGAAGTTGTGTAGAAATGAAATATAACTTAATATATTGAAAAATTTTGAATAACCATCATTATCTGCTTAAGTTTCTATTTATTTTCTTCTCGAACATACTTTAATACAGTAATACTTTGCTTTTCCTTACTTTTGTGGACGATACCTTGCTAAAAGTAACTGACAATTCAAACGTGTGAGACTATTGCATTTCATCAAAATTAACAGTAAATAATATGAATCAGAATGTTACACTTTATGTGTTTTTATATTAACTTTATAAATATAATTATTTCAGTTGTTTCTGCTACCGTCATTGGTTAAAAATATACAGGATAAGGCAGAGAAACGGGAGGTTTCAAAGTCGATTTTTCTATGTACTAATTGAATAGAAGAAACTACGTGAACGATGGTATGTTGTCAAGAACAAGTAGTAATTTTGATGTAATGAATAGCCATTCATTACTTTCACCATTAAGGCATTTTTTAAATATAATGATTGCATAATGGCCTCAGAATGGTTATTTCGCTGTCATTTTAAAATCCATTAAAATTGTCATGTCATTATGACATGAATTGAGAGCTTTCAGGAAAGTTGTTCTGTAGCAAAAACGCCTCCGAGTACAGTAAGAATCGGACACCCTAGAAATTTTCGTGAATGTGAGAATCGCTATCGAAGTTAGTCCACAGAACTTAGCAATCTTCTTTGTAGTTTGACGGTATTAACGCAATAATTAAGTAGAGGAAAAGTGGTATTATGGAACCACTCCATTTCGAACTGATAATAAAGGCAAACTGTATCGGATTGTGGCTGAACTGCACTAGGCAGACATCCATTGCAAAGGATGTCTGCCTAGTGCAGTTCAGCCTATGGATTTGATTATGGTAGAGAAACCCATTTTACTTCAGTTAAACGGTTGTCCGTAGTGAATCAGCAAATTTATGTTTTTTACAATTTGAAGATTTGAATGTTAAGTGAATTCAATTATTTTTAAAATATAAATCGTATAGTTGTAGGTTCACTGGTGCATGTATTTCGTTCCAAACACTTCGGGACATCACAAACGTGAACATCATACATATTAATCTGTGTGATGTTCTCATTTTTTAAAATTCGGTCTTGACAGACATAAGTTAATTCAAGATGGCGATTTCATTGGTGCTTTTAATATAGACCCCATTGGTGCATATAATATGGAACCCAACTCCTCTGAACTGTATTTGCAAGCAGACATTTGTCCGGAGCAATTTGTGAAAAAGACAATAGGTAGAAAGCTCACTCTTCCTGACAATATCGAAAAAGAGCTGCTGGAATATATATTGTTGGTGAAGGTTATATTTTTCTATTATAAATGCATTTTTTCGATAAAATACATTGGAGTAAATAATTTGTAATTATTTCACATTTTTCGTTCTTTCCTATTTGTTTTTTGATACATTAAAGTATTTTTTTAAAACATACAGTAAAGTTCCATATTACCACCCGATTTTCTCTAAGCCTACATTTTGACTTTTTTACAAAAGCCTTCAAAAACCATACTTATAGTTACACTAACGAAAAATACAATTAGGATCATTTAGTTTAATAGTTACCAGTACTTTTCGCACAAAAAATGTGGGTGTAGTTATGATACCTTGTTTACAATTCACTATAATAAAAATGGGGTTCCATAATACCACCTTCTCCCATATATTTCTTGTCGTTAATGATCAGACATGGTTACAACAAGATGCAGCTTACAAAACCAAAATATCAATAACTGCTGTAAGAAGTTGTTGCCTATAAAGTTATCTCTAGTAATAGTGACATTTTTTGGTTCAGAAAATTGTCGCCATGTGATTATTTTGTGAAGATATTTGAAAAAAAGTAGAGATTAATTTCCTATACAGTAATTCTGAGCTTTAAGTCAGAATTCGAGAAAAAATTACCAGAATACTGTTAGAATCGTTTTAACGTTCATTGGTTAATATGTACCCAATAGTAGAGGAATGTCCGCGAAAAGATTGAGCTAACCTAAAACATGTCGTTCACTAGAAATAAAATGCATTTAATTACTTTTAACGTGATACACCTGTAATTTGTTTTATATAAACCATCTTCTTAGGTATTTATAATGTTTCGTTTTTCATTCTCATCTTATACAATTGTTACAGGCTAAAAATTGTTGTCTTATCACTCCTAATATTCCACATTTTGGAAATTTGTAAAGTAATTCTTAGTGATTTTCTTCATTGATTTAACGTTCTTTTCAAGTATATTTTCACGTAATTCACTGCTCTCACATTAGTAATCAGCTGTAAAATGACCATTTTTTTCTTAAAAAGGAAATGCTTTCTATGTCGAAGTTCTAAAGACGGAAAATACACAAAATCTTGAATCAAGTGCCTGAGATTTGCTGTAGACATACAACGAAGAAGAAACAAATTTGTTAGAACATGTACTGAGTTCAATTAATTTAGTTTTATAACAATATTTTAACAATAAAAATTGTTTTGAGTTCTAAAATTTGAGTTATTTTAAAAAATCCAAATTTATAGAAACAAATATCACAATAAAAAATATATCAACTTCTAAATTTAATTCATTATTTACATGGATTATTGTCTAATAAAATTAATTTTGTCAAATTGCGTGAGTGAACAAGTATTAGAAAATTTAATCCATTAGTTTCTTTAAAGAATTCACTGAGAATTATACTCGTATTTTTAAATGATATTTAATATCATATACTTTTCTAAAAATATTTATTTTATATGAAACTTTCATATGCAGGCAATTAGGTTAAGTTCTTCGTCTTTGGAAAAATCAAATGTGGGACAAATGGTAAATCTTCTAGCAAACGACGTTGGCAAATTCCAGAACGTAAGTTAAAAATAATTTTCTAAACAATAATACATTTAATGTTTATACGTAAACCGATATATTTTGTGTATATATTATAATGGCTGAATCAGTATTAACAACTTTAGAATGACAAATAAAGGTAATTCTGACAAGAGGAAAGCGCAATGAAGCATGGTTTCAGTGGGATCTCTCTTAAAGCAACAATGATCATTTCAAAATGAAATTCAATAGAAACAGTTTGTAAGAATTACAGTAAAGCGTCGATTATCCGAATCAATTGGGGAATGGGGTTGTTCGGAAAATATTCTTATATAATCTTAGAAGTCTCCTCAACAAAAACATGTATAAATTGTACAATTATAATCAATAGAAATAGAGAAAACTGAATACTGACATCAAGCAGTCATATTTATGATCACTTTTAAAAACATATGCTCAGACAATCACTTATATTTTCCTTTGTTTCTGTCACAGTGGAATGTATGTGGTATAATAAGCTTCACTAAACTCTAATGACAAAATGTTTAACTAATATAATTGTTTAGCAAGCGAAAAAACAGAGCTGTGTCTCATTCTTTGGAAGGAAAATTGCATGTAGTATATGACACACGGCATCCCAAGAGGCATTGACGACGTGTTGATTCTTCTGAGGGCCGCTCAAGAGCCGATCTTGAACTCGAGGGCAACCACCTACTAAACGACATTATCAATTGGGGCCGACATTCATTATATCGCCAACCGGACGAGGTTGATCTTCCCGGCTTTTTCTCAGATGGCTAAAAATAAGTGGGGTCTATCTTCTAATGCCATGAACGCAGTCTATGACTGCATATTCGTCCCCATTGTCACCTACGCATGCGCACCTGGGGCTGGACCGTGCGTAAAATCCACCCAAAGAGAAAATTAATTTCCTCTCAACGTCGTGCACTACTTAACATCACGAAAGTCTTCTGCACCGCTCCCAACAGTAGTATCCAGGTTATTACCAGAAAGCCCCCTATCGACTTAATCATTCTTCATCATCGTAAGTTTCATCTTATTCAGCATGGTGAATATATTGACAGTCCTCTATACCTTGACGCTCCTTACTGTTACAGACTTGAAAAACCATACCCTTTCCACCGTACTCTGAGCCCTGTCTATGATAATACCATCCACACCAAGAACTTCATTCTTACTAACATCGATATCTACACTGATGGTTCCAAGAACACCAACATTGTGGGCTGTAGCTTTGTGGTTTAGGTTAATAATCAGGAATCTTTCTTTCAATGCTATCGTCTTCATAATAATTGCACCATTTTTCAAGCTGAGCTGCTTGCAACTAAAATGACAGTCAGCTGGACCAACGACAATCTCACCGCTACATGTGCACACATGTAGCGGTGATTACCTCTCGGCCTCTCAGATCATTGACAGTAAAAATCTTCACCCACTAGCGACAGAAATCACGAATCTTATAAACATGGCCAGCAACAAGTTCACCATTTCCCTGGTTCGCGCACATCAGGGCAACATTGGAAATGAAAGGGCAGATGCCCTAGCTAAACTGGCCGCTGGAGACTCAACACTCCCTATTATTTATAGCAAACTCAGCAGACAAACTCTTCGTCATATCCTCTGGGAGGAAACTTTGCAGCAGTAACAAACTTCATGGATTAACAAAAAAACAGTATTACCTTTCAGTTCATCCCAGATCTCAAACATTTTTCACCCTTTACTGGTTTACCCCTAACTATTATTCTACCCAACTCCTCACTAACCATGGGAAGTTTGCGAGCTACCTCTCCAGGTTTACCAACAGGGACTCTTATCTCTGCCCTACTTGTCAAAAAGAGGATGGCACTTTGCACTACATATTTGATTGCCCTACCCTGGAACATGATCGACTGAACATCAGGCTACTGCTAAATGAGATGAATATTGACTGGCCTTGCAACCTCTCTGATCTACTGGTCAGTAAGGATATTTACCGTGCCTTCACAAGGCTTGCAAAAAGCCACAACAAGATTTCCCACACCACTATCACAAGTTAAGGTAGCTGGGTCAACATCATTGTCGTCTATGTATACTTTGTTATATCCAATAACTAATTTTTAATGTGTTCGGTGTAAGCAGTGCAGCACTTCTGCACTGATCTGTCACGCTTTCTTCTGTGTATTCACTTACTCAATGTAAATATTGTATATAATTTATTCTGTATATGTTCTCATCATTTCCTCTCATAATTGTATCTGTTTACTTTAATTCTAATTTTGATTTTCCCGATTTGTATCTGTATTACCTGTATACATATATATACATATATATATATGTAGGTGTATGTATGTATGTGTATATATTTGTGTGTGATATTTTTCATATTCTATTTCTATTCAATCCTGCCTGTATCTGTATTTATTGCATATGTACTCTATTCTCATTTCTTTCTGTATTTTGCATANTGTATACATATATATACATATATATATATGTAGGTGTATGTATGTATGTGTATATATTTGTGTGTGATATTTTTCATATTCTATTTCTATTCAATCCTGCCTGTATCTGTATTTATTGCATATGTACTCTATTCTCATTTCTTTCTGTATTTTGCATATGTATATCTTATTCAATTTTTCCACATTTTTACATTGTATATTATCCTAACCTATAATAACCTAACTGTAACCAATGTTATTCTTGTCACGTTTTTGTAACCTGGTAGTGCTTCCTGCGGAACCAGGTATGTAACACAATTTGTGTACCTCATAATAAATGAATGAATGAATGAATGCATGTGCGATGGGCATTTCTCTTTGATCATCCTTTTGGACAAGACCACGCCTATAGACTTGTGAGATAAGCAGTGGGTCAGGGGTTAATCTGGTCCTGACCACTTAATCTGCACAGGCTGGTAAAGCCCAATTTCAGAGTCGTTCGGATGGTTAGGAGAGCAAATCGAGTGGAAAGACCGATTGACATTTGATTCCACTGATAGTGACTGTCAGGGGCTAGAAAATGCTGACTTCTCCTTATCTCTCAAAGCTAGTTTTCACATCCCAATAAAGTGTCTATTGTGGAGAAATTTTTGGTCTGTTTCATCAAACTGAGTGCTTCTTGAACTAAATGTTAGGGATACAGGTCTGTTTTTGTGATCTTATTTAATTTCTGGTAATCAATAACTAGACACCACGATCCCACATCTTTCTTCTTGACCAATATTGAAGGTACCGACTATGGCGATTTAGAATGCTCAATTATTCCATTTTCTAATAATTCATCAACGATCTCATTCAATTGCTCTTGCTGAGCATTGGGTATGCAATATGGAAATTGATATATGAGAAAAACATTTCCAGTATTTATTTTGTGTTCTACTATCTGCGAATATCCTAAGTCATAATCGTGTGTTGCAAAAACATGTTTGTATTTTTATAAGAGGTTTAAGAGTGGTTGTTTTTTTCCGATATGGGACCAATCAAACAATTGACTAAATTCATCTTTGGTAAAATTCAGAGTAGATCGCTGATTAGTAGGATTCTGATTTTTTGGAGCGGTTTTCTCTTCTAAAGCCCTTAAGAAAGTTCCAACGTATTTACCCTTTGGTAGTAATCTAGGATGTGTGGAGAGGTTTGTTATTCGAATAGGTACTTGTCTCTTTTTTTTTTTTGTTTTTGCTAAAATGTCAGCATCTGCAATCACTTCTTGTTTAAATACTTTCTTGTTTAAATACAGAAGAGTCCCGAAAACTCAGCTTTGTGTGGACCGAAGAGTGGCCGAGTTTGTGAAAATGCCGGATAATCAGGAATGGGGTTAGAAAAGAATAAGTACGAGTGTTTCCTGAGAAAATACTGTACTATACTTGTATATATTGTTTGCTTGAGAATACAACAGAGAAAAACTGCCCAAATTCCTTTAAGCAAAGGAAAAGTATGTACTTTATGAAGGCATAGAGAATTTACTACATGTAAATGAAAACTAATGAATACACTGTGTACAGTAATTTACCCAATAAGACAGACCTCAGATAAATACTTTATGAGGCATAAAGTTGTCTATAATGAAAATGATTTAACTACGGGTTTTTTTTGCCCTGCCAGGGTGTGGCCGAGTTATCCGGACTGCCGGGTTATCGAGTGCCGAGTTTTCAGAACTTTACTGTACACCTGATTTTATAATTTCCAGTTTTTCTTTTTGTTTTATGCCTATGATTTTAGCCATAGTATTACCCTCGGTTAGACATGCAGGAAACAGCTGTCGACATGCCGTTTTAAAATGCATATACAGTGGTACCTCAGGATACGAACGCCCCAGCATACGAAATTTTCAGGATACGACATGAAATTCGAACATATTTTTGCTTCACGATACGAACAAAAACTCACCATACGACGTTACATTAGTTCGCATTTTTCATTTGTTTTCCTTACTACAGTTATTTTTTTAAATGTATTACTTGGCTTTAATACATGTAATCGTATGGGAAAAGTTGATTCACCTTACGACATTTTCATGATACGATCTCAGTTTCGGAACGGATTAATTTCGTATCCTGAGGTACCACTGTATTTTTTTTATGTATTAAATGCTGGAAAATAATGTCCTCAGTACTTTCCTTGAAAGTACTGGAAATTGCATTGAAAAAATTTCAAATTTCTATAAAAAAATTTTTTACAAGAAGCAACACTTAGGTTTAGGAGTAACCATAATATCTCGCGTGCCTAACAGAGGAAGTTTAATTAGTGCGACTAACCGAGGAGGTGGAACCGAGTTATAGTTCTAAACAATGCTCATTGCTTGATATCAGGTCTGTCATGTCCAATTGGAGCATAGTAGTCCTATAAACAGGATTTGCAAAGCCAATTAACGGCAAATAGGTCACCCATAGACTTAGCATTGAAAGTTTGATAGGTGGAGTTTCCTGGGAATATTTATTGCTAAATGGTTTTGAAATCGTGTTTATTCGAGTAAATACAGTCAAACAACTTTTCATTCTCAAATTAGAAGTAAAAAAAAACGATTAAAACAAGCGTGTTTATAGTGACTGTGTAAGATTTGCCGACATTAATGGGGAATAAAGTCTATCTCGCGTCAGAATGAGTTTAAGGGAAACTGCGTATATTGGCGGTGGCGAAGGAGGCGAATGAAGAACAAGTGTTTTACAAAAGAAAACCCGTTTATTAGTTCGAATTCATGCTTACATCAATATTGGACAATTCAAAATCTCGGTACTCCTGTGAATGGTGAAAGTTCGGGTGATCGGTCGCAGCCCGGGAGGACAAGAAGGATCACTGGACAATACAGATGTTCGTTGTTAAGCTGCGGCATCCTGGGTGATCGGCGGTTGCACAACACAATGTAAATCACAACGGTAGGCTTAATCCAGAGGAAACTCCTCTTCGACCTTGAAGTTCTAATTTTTATAGTTTTTCCCCCACTGTTCGCATTTCGGATTGGTCCTTCGCCCCATTCTTCGCTTCCCGATTGGTCTCTCCTTTGTCTCCAGGTGCAAGACGAAACTTTTTTGGGTCGCGGGATAGGTCCGATTCGAGGCGTCCATCTGATACCTCTTTGTCGACTCTACTCGGTGACTGTTTATAAAATAATAACACCTGCTCTCATATCTCAGGCCGTTATTTACCACTTTTTTGACGTCTAAGAATTTAACGATCATTTTAACTTTTCATCTATCAAAAATTTCCCTTTTTTTGTTCGAAAGGTTTATCTCGGCCAACATTTTATAGACACGCGAGTCAAAGATCTACCTGTTTATGAGCGCTCGTGCTAGAGTTTGTCTTCCACTAAGACCTTGACAGATAGTTTGACACATACTTGAACCGATCCGAGTCTCGTTGTTTACATTTTGTGTCGCTCAAGAATTTCACGGTTTACTGGAGTTCGAACCTCGTCTGGGAACCCACAACTGTATTCATAATTCGAAGTGATAATCTGAGATCTGAGGGGGCATGGCATTTTGCGCGAATTTTTCTGGCAATAGTTTTCACAAGTGGATTTAATACCAGACAAAAAAATTAACCAATTACAGCGTAAAAAAGTGTGCTATCGATGTTATCTGCCAATAATCTGCCTTTTTTCCTGTACTTGCTGTAGAATATTAGGAGGTGTATTTGTAGATATACTAAAGTATATCTACAAATACATAGATTCACAAGGGCCTCGGAGGTCATCGCCAAACTTCCGCGGGGTTGATATTGTCGTTGTTAATCTGTATATTCCCGAGAACGCCAAAAAGGGGGCAGTCTCTGTGTAGGGTCAACTTGACTATGTTCCTGGACTGCTAATTGCTATAATTTGCTCCTGAATTTTTGCCAGTCTACTCATTGATTGTAGGTTGTAGAGTTAGGATCATCTTTATTGTCTCCAGGGTTTTTTATAGTTTGTACTCTTGCTCGTTATTTCGCATTTAAACGTTCTATAGTTTCTTTTCTAATTGCTGCTTGCACCGTCTTATCGAAAGAATCAGGTTTCCGTGACATTACCTGTCTCTTTATCTGCTTATTGAGCCCACTCAAAAATTGCACCAGCAATCGTTTGTATGTTTCCGTTTATTGACACCTTTTAATAATTTCTTTCTCCCGTGCGTTCTCACTAGTTTGTTTTATAATCGTTTCTGATGCTAGAGTCTGTAATCGTACTGCATAAGTATGCATGCACTCATCCAATGCTTAAACACAAGCATGATATTTTTCCAAATATAAAAAAAAATTGTTTTTTAAAACTCTAGATCATGAGTCTCTTAAACTCACTGTGTTTCAATTTTTTTTTTCATCTTCGCATCCTTCCATGCAAAAACTCTATCTATCTCTGTCAATTTTAATTTGGCAACTCCCAAACACTGCACCTTTGCGTAATTGGTTAACTTAGCTATTTCATCTAGTAATTCGAGGAAATTGCTGACCTTGATGCCATTAGCATTTCCCGCAAATGAGGGTATCAGCAGATTCATGCCCCCAAGTCCACCTAACGTGTTACTTCCTGCTGTCTTTTTACGTGCACATCCTTCCACTCTTGCCTCCATCCTACTGCAATTTGTCTTTATTCTAAAATTTTCTCCCGCTCTGACACCACTGTGATCGGAGGGTCAGCAACTCTTCAAGGCTTTGTCAGGACTGACACTACCGTTTCTCGTTTGACACGGAAGCCGATATAGCATGTTGATTCGGATTCGACGTAGATCATACGAGCGATCAGATTCATGACGGAGATGGATTGAGAAACTGTGCACTGGAAGTACTACACTCAGGCTATAGGATTAATAACAAATAACCGTTGAATAACTTCAAAGAGAAAGGTTACAGGTTACATATCAGAATTAACCTAGATATTTAACGGAGCGGTCGCGATAAAAAGAGAAAGTTCATATAATGTTCGCGTGGAGATAAATATCTTTTGTAACGGATGTCCTGGTCAGTCTGGTGCAGAATCGTAAAGAAAAGGTAATAGTTTGTTTTAATTATTTAATATCTTAAAAACAGCAGAATTGAAAGAACTTGTTTATTTTTTCACACAGTTTTGTTAACTGTATTGTTAGGTTATAGATAAGCGATAATTCAAATGGTATTTCTTCAAATAGATAGATATTTCAAATGGCATCTCTTATCACTACACTTTAGAGGAATTGAACTCTGTGGCCTAATTTTTTTCAAAGAAAGCACGAAAAGAATCGCAGTTCATAGCACACATGTTGAAAATGCATTATGAAGATTGCATAAATTATTCCAACATCTAACCATTGTGAAAAATACTGAAAGAGAAGCGAACGTGCTATGTGACAATCAGCGATCTCGTTGCAAGTACAGTAAGATAAAGAAAACGTTACTAACCAATGTTTGCAAACTTTAATTAAATTAAAAGCATCTTACAATTCTGATATATTTTCCAGTGTTACCCACTGTTTGGCTCAAAAGAGAGAATTACCGGAATATTTTAATATTGTGAAACATAAAATACAATATAAATTTAAATACAGGTATCTGTCGTATATAACACAGTAGATACGTTCCGAAAAACTGTCGTGTTACATGTATCCATGCTATACAAAATAAAGTACTAATATAAAAGATAGGGTTAGCATCTAATAGTTAGCATAAGTATACTATTGTGAGAATTCGGGCTAGTTTATATTTCGACGATCTTAGTATTATATAATTTTTCTTCCAAGACAAGAGAGAATTATTTAATGAAAGAAATTCAACAAAAAATGTTTTTTGTTTAGTTTTTCCTGTAACATATCCGACAGGTAACACTTCTCTCACAGGTGAGAAATAATCAGATAAAACTACTCCTTTGTAATTTGTAACCGTTTTAGACTAGCGATGCCACGAAACAAAATTCGCTGCAAGTCCTGAAGGGATTTTTCGAGAAACGACTTTACAACATGTTTCAAGGATAAGAAAAACGTTTATATTTTTATTACTGTGGGAGAAAATTATTTTATAAGAACAAAATAAATTTTGAGGTTAAATTTAGATTTTGCTTTCTATTTAAATATTTCCAATACTTTTCATTGCAGAGGTATTCATGCTCACTGTAATCTTTACGCTGATGAAACAGTGAAAATAAACGTAAGAAAAATGAAAAAAACGCAGATACAAAATACACAGTAATACTTTTTTTATTTAGAATAATTATAACTTATAGGAGTTTTTAGAAAAAGTTAAATTCAAATATTTGCTATTATCAATATTATGAAAGAGTTTGGTAAAGGTACTGTCATTGTCAGAAATACCATTTTTCTATTTCAAAATAAAACTAGTTATTGCATACTTAATTAATATGCTCATCATTTACTTTATCATCTCCAAAATAATTATCCTAAAATTTCAGTTAAATTTAATCAAATTATTTCATTTATTACAGAAAGTTTTCTCCGTTGCATCTTTATTTACATCGCCTTTCTTCATCATTTTTTCGATATTGATGCTATGGCAATATTATGGATGGACTATTTTAATGGGATATTTGGTAGTATTTCTCTTCGTTCCTATACAAATTGCTTTGAGTAAACTATATTCAAAATTGAGGTAATTATTTCTCTAAATTATATAATTATAAAGTAGCTGTAAATAAAATGAAAAAATCATTCTGTATATAATAGTCATTAGTTGATGAGGGTGGAATTGATGTATTTAAAATCGATAAAATGTTAAATATTTATTGATATATATGCTATATTACCTGATATTGGAAATGGTAATATGGTTAAGGTTAGGCATATCGATCTCGACCATCAAAAAAATTTTATAGGCCCTGAATTTCAATTATATGGAATGAAATTGACCATGCTGAAAAAGTATTGAATTTCGTGGCTGTTTATCTGATTTCTGAACTTCATTGGCATATATTTTATATAGTACGATGTAATTCACGATTAAACTAAGGTCATATTTTTCTAACATATGTAAGATTAACTAACTCTAGTTTAAGAGAGAACTCACGATGCGCATCCTTTTACGTAATTACGAAGACAAAATAAAAAAAAGAATAAACAGGGAAGATTGTATAGAATTAGTAAGAAATGTATAGAATATCGTATGAGAGACATCAGTTTGACCATAAAAAAAAGATATATCTGCGATACAAATAGAAACTTTGCAGATAACAGATAAATGCTTAAACGTTAGAAGCTGAAGACTTGTTAACGTTTAAAACTAAAATTACAGTATGATGAGTAATAACTTAACTTATCAAAGTTTTAAACTGCACTTTCTTACCGTAAACTTCTTCAATACCGAGGTGGACGCTTGTCAGCCACCATCCACCGGACAACTTTCCATGACCTTTGCAAACGAGATTAAACTTTTCGTTTTTATTATTGTGATTAAATCATTTATTTTTTGTTATTTGTTCATTTAGTTACAGTTTGCGTGAGGCGTTCATTTAATTTCAATTTCTAATACGTTTATAGATTTGTATGAAAATTTCGTTTTAATGTTCAAAAATGTTCGTGAAGAATGATGTTTTTTCTCAGCAAATAAGTTGTTGTTTAATTTGCAGTTTTCGTGCTGAAAATGAATACCAGGATAAAAAAAACATAAATTAGAACTATGTAACATAGAAAAACTTTAAAAAGCAATTCAACTGTTTCTTCTTACTTAAATTACAATGCCTGTTGTGTATATTAAAATACGTTTCGTTGTTTAGTTTTATTTTTTTATTAATTTTTTAGACTTGTAAAATGATATAATAAGCATGGTTCGCGCTGCATAGCGCCAAAATCGCCGCTTAATGCTATGTTTATTATAATGGCGATAAAAATATAACACTGGCGATAGTACGTGACGACCAAATTCCGAGTTCGTTTCTATCGACATTTAGCATGAAACTGAATCACTAATTATAGTTCGAGAAATGCAGGAAAATCTCGAGCTTTCGTACAATGGGAATCCTGTGCATTTTTCATCTAGGGATTTTATGGCATCACTTAGCAAGTTCGGGCAGTAAAGTAAGATGTGACGTTATTTTTCGTGTATGAGATATTTCCGGTACAAAAGATATTTCTTTTCTATTTACCACTCTGCCCTTCAATCGAAGAACTACAATTTAAACTGTTCTATTTTCGGCATGAAGTGAATAAATTCAATAAACTAAATAAATTCTTAGAAATTATTTAGTTTATTGAATTTATTCACTTCATGCCGATGCAAGTTGATAAAGCTTTTACTTAGAAGAAATTTAAATACGTGAAATAATCTTTAAGATCCATATAGTATAAAAAGGGATTCAAGTAGCATAAACGACTCTTTTGTTTTAATTAATACTTGATAAATGAATGTCTAACTTTTAATATAAGATTATTATTAAATATAATCTATTTGTTCAGACTTTAGTTTTTTACAATTTTCCAGAATATATGTTTATAAATTCAAATATATAATAGATTACAAGCAGCTATTTTGGCAGACGAAAGATTAAATTTGTTGAACGAGATGATTGCTGATATGAAATTAATTAAAATGTACACCTGGGAATTGCCATATGCTGCATTAATAGAAAAAATCAGGCTGTAAGTACAATCAAATGCAGTAAAACCTGTGTAAAACGGAATCTGAATAAGACAAATGAATTAAAAATAAAAAAAATATTTTTAAAAGCACGTTTTAAAAAAACAAAAAATAATAATAACATTTCGAAATATAAATTTGACAAACTGGATAAAAATATTAAATAATATCCGATTCCGGTACACACAGCTTTTAATATAATTTCTATATTTTAATATGTTAATCTTTAAATAAATATTTCCAGAGTTCTGTGATTAACATTGTTTAATTGTTTATATTTTAGAAAAGAAATGAAAACAATTCGAATGTTTTTATATGTAAGTGGAATATCATACATATTGGCGTATCCTATAACAAAATTATTTACTCTTCTGTCATTTGTCGCAATTTTATTAAATGGAGGAGAATTAAATGCCAAAATTGTGTTCGTCACAATGCTTTATTCCATGTACATGTTCAACATCATTATTAGTATATTTTCTCAGGCAATGGGTTTTGTTGCAGAAATATTGGTTTCATTGAAGAGGATACAGGTAATAAACAGTTTCATATCTATTCCTTTGAAATTATACTACTGCAATACTAGTTTAAAAATTATTCGAGAATTACAATATTTAATTAGTAATATTATTGTAATTAAAAATATCAAATGTTAACACCTGTCAATAACGAAAGTTGAATAACTCCGGAACATAAACAGGAAAAGTCTACTGAATAGACAAGATTTTGTTGTAAATTATATAATTTCCACGCGAATTTGATAAGGTTTTAGATACGAAGTTTTAATTTAGCCTGAATAATGCCTGAAATTAAGGTTCTACTTGTAAATTAAATCGTTTTATCTTCGATTTTCACCATATATTATAGAAAACTGTATTCTGAAAATCAGTTCATATTTCCTCACATTAACGAATGTCACATTGAGATGACATTCTGATCGATATAAGTTTTCATGAGTAGACGTCTTTTCTGTAAATAGTTATGGTTGAAATTGAATACTTTTAACAATTAATAATTTTCAAGATTCGAATACGTTTTTAAAAGCTGAATTTTCGTAAATAAGCAAGATACAAAATTATTTGAATACAATGAAAATAAGGTTACACAGAAATGTCAGCTTGCATTGTATGCAGAAGTTTGTAACTAAGCAACACGCAATATTTAAGAAAATTCACGAAAATTATTCGAAAAATTAGATCAANATATTATAGAAAACTGTATTCTGAAAATCAGTTCAAATTTCCTCACATTAACGAATGTCACATTGAGATGACATTCTGATCGATATAAGTTTTCATGAGTAGAAGTCTTTTCTGTAAATAGTTATGGTTGAAATTGAATACTTTTAACAATTAATAATTTTCAAGATTCGAATACGTTTTTAAAAGCTGAATTTTCATAAATAAGCAAGAAACAAAATTATTTGAATACAATGAAAATAAGGTTACACAGAAATGTCAGCTTGCATTGTATGCAGAAGTTTGTAACTAAGCAACACAGCAACACGCAATATTTAAGAAAATTCACGAAAATTATTCGAAAAATTAGATCAAAATATCTTTATATCACTATTACTGCTATGCGATTAGAATTTCTAGCCTGAAGACTCGCCTGAAGACGTTCCTCTCATCTGTTGAGGGCATTGCAGTAGCCATGATTGGGCTTGCGCTGCTTTTGCCACCGGTAACCAAAGGAGACTGTGGCTTATTTTCGAACGTGAGCCTCTGCCTAACGCGAACCATGTTAATCCCGGCAACGTCTGAACCGATATCACACGTACATCTTACGATAAGAAATATCTTTTGAGAATGTAAGTGTGGTCACTCTTAGATTTAATACACTCGATATACTGTGCCTTACTGGCATGGGTATTCCTACCAGTCGCTCGTGCTGCAGCCTGTATTGATCTATGGCAGTGGTTCTCAACTTTTTTTGTTGATGTACCTTAATAGGTCATTAGTTGTTTTTCAAGTACCCCTTATATTTTTGTATGTAAATTTTAAAATTACTGCGTTAGATGTATACAGCCCTTATAACTGAGCGCCATAAAAATAATTAACTAACTATAACTAAAAGTTAATTACTTATTTTACGTATATGACAATAAATTTAGTCAGGTACATACATTTATTTATTACTAGCTGCAAGGATCCGCTTCGCTGGGCAAAAAGTAACGATAGTGAAGATTAATATAATTATATTATAGCCAATCTTACCCGTTTTCACAGAATGCAAGAATTAGGTCCTCCGTTTCCAGACTAATTAGAAAACTTTTACGTCCATTCAAACGAACTATTTTCATTTTGATCAATTTTCTGAAACTTTTACAATCGTTCTATGATCGAACCAATTCGAATTCGAATTTAATTCGAACAAATTCGAACATAACATTCGAAATAAAAAACCACATTCAACCACTTTCAGCCCCATATCTTCTGCACCCTTATAGCTATCGAGACGCATCCACCATAGTGCATGAATGAAGACTTGGGGCTACTACCACATACAAACACCATTCACGTGCGATGTGTAGTTTGCGGAAATGTGAAATATAGGGACATACATGTCCATTTATATATATATATATATATACAGATATAGATTATTTTATAAGTATATTATATAAAATCATAGAAGTCATTTTAATACATGCATATATTATATTTCCTAAAAATAAATAATTATAATTAACAATAAAGAAAATTTAAATTATTTTACAATAATTTCTAACAAAATGTAATGTGATATTTGGTTCCCATGTTGTTAAATAGAGATTATATTTGTGTACTGAACTTGAAAGTAATGGCTGCGAATTTATAACGTGCAGAACAATACATGAATTTTTCAAATTTTGTAACAAACATAACATCTAAATTTGCTAAATGTGAAGTTATGCGTGCATGCAGTAAAACGCATTGCATGGTGGGGGTACGATCCAGGCCTCGTTATTCCTAATACCAGTAGTCCAGTAAAAACAAGGAAAGCCCCAATTTTATCAATGAATAATTATAGAATAGAAAAAAA